GCCGGGCAGAGCCCCGGGCAGGGCGAGGAGCCGGTAAGCGCCGGGGGGAGCGGAGGCCGCGCTTCCTCCTCCCGCGGAGGGGGATTTGGCGTTGTGCATCTCTCGCCCCGCTCCGCCCCCGGCCCTCACCGGGGCCTCCCAGCAGTCTCCTCTGCTCCCCAGATGTTGGGCGAGAAGAGGCTCGATCTTACCTGGGGTAGTGCATGGGCTGCGGGTGTTAGGGGCCCCTCCTAAAAATGAGAGCATCGGAGAACATCTGCCGGCAGGTAACCCGGGTGGGTGCTGGCAGGAGGTGATGGGGGAAGGTTTGGGGTGCTGCCTAGGCCAGCAGTTGGGCGGGCAGGATGAACGACAGTTGTTGCTAGAAAGAAAAAAAAAATTCAGGAAAAGAGTGACTGGGAACAATTTTGCATGTTTGTTTTTTCTTGTAAGATGTGTGGGGTCATGGCAGCTTCTCAGTAGATAGATGAGTCACACAGTGCATGCGTGTCAACTAAGGCAAAAGGCAGAAAGAGTATCCGGATTAGAAGGAAGATCAAAGAATTATCTTGTTATCGAGGAATGGTGACCAGGTAGCTGTGCAAGGTGCTTAGTACCTACCTGTGCCAGGTATGCTAGTCCTTTGCTGGACTGCAAGGTGCTAGGATGCGAGCTGCTCCCATTTCATGACTCAGGGTCAGACTCTAGAAAGGGCTGGATTCTGCTCAGCTCCTTGGTTCTCTTGACTTCCAGTGTGAGAACTGGTGGGTTCAGAATTCAGGCTGTGTACAGCACCTTCTGCATCCCTCTGGGCATACTCAGGCTAAGAGCCAGGATGCACAACAAGCATGAACACAAGCCTAAGAAAAGATGCAATTGCAGAAAGGGAGATTGATTTGGCAGTATACAAAGCTGAAGGTAAACTAAGTAATAGTATTTGGGCCAGCTGAAGATCTCAGGTTTTGGGAGCAGGTGTTACTCAGCCTTCAGATTAGTGGAGCGGACAAAATATAAAGTGTTTCCTGTCTCTGACCCATCTGATGCCTTTGTCGTTATTTCTGACTTTGTTTTTCAGAAGAACTCCGTGATTCAAGAAAGCCACCATGAAAGGTGAGGAAGCTCGGCAGCGGAGAAAAGAGGGCAGGACTCGGAATGGAGAGCGATCCAGGCACAAAGCAAAGAGCAAGGGTAAACACCGAGAGAGCCGGCTCGGCGGCCAGGAGGCAGAGGATGTCGCTCTGCACGCCCAGCAGAAGCTGTTGGCTGAGGAGAAAGCGGCCATGGCAAAGTCGCAGGAAGAGTCGGCCATGGGGATCTGCCTGCAGGTGCTCCTGCCGTACCTCCTAGCGGGGCTTGGCATGGTCTTGGCAGGCATGGTTTTGGATTATGTTCAGGTAAGGGGAAGAAGCTGATCCGATGTACCTGGCATGGGATAGGTGGGAGGTGCTTCTTCAGAGGTAGAGGATTTGCTGTGGGGGTGCAGAGTGAATGGATGATTTGCAGCATTTTCACATGTCAGACGTGTCCTTCAGAGTCAGCCTTTACACACTTTTGTGCAGCTCTTACGAGACAGCGTGTCATTTTATTTCTGGCCCTTTTCTCCTCTGGAGATAGATGACAATATGATGTTAGAGAGCATGCAAAGAATCTAAGGCACGTAGGATGTAGGAAGGTGCAGTCTTGTGCAAAGATCTCACCTTGGTCCTGGGAAGAGGGTGGCTGAGCTGCAGCCCCAAGGCCTGTGGTGGCTTGGGAGTTCCCTACAGGAGCTGGAGCTGTATCACTCCTGGGTGTAACTCTGGATAGTCCTGCATCCTCTGCTTCATTGCTGAAGGAGCCATCCAGCCCAGCACTGTTAATGCTTCATACAACAGATGTAGCAGATGGCTCCTTAAGTCTGCTTTCAGTCTGATTTCTGATTCTGTGACAGCCAGGACCAGACCTTTCCTCCCATGGTGCAGCAATGCAGAGCTTTAAGGGAGCAGTGAACACCTAATTTTAGACAGTTTAAAGCTGCAATTAGTTACCAGTTTGTAAATTGCCCTGCCTTTGCACTCTCAGTGACTCTTGCTGCTGGGCACCTTTTTGTCAACCCTTGTTATTTAACAAGGTCAGATCGCCCTGACCTATCTGATACAGTGACACTGAAACTACTGTGCTTGCACTGATGACTTTCACAAATCTGGAGCTGTTCATTTGCTATTGGGCTGATCTCCCTAAGCTAGAAGAGCTGTAAAGACTTAAGAGTGACACAGTATCCTTAACTGACCTTAGCATGTACTCAATACCCAGCAAAATATCTAGTCACATCAGAAAACACCCAGGCCAATCTAGAACCCAGTGGCAAACTACTTTTTGTCTCCTTAGGCGTCATTCTGTGGGTCTTGACCTTTGAGCAGCCACTTTCGGTTTTATTTTTCAGACTGTTCAGACCTGCCCATTCCTGTGGATGCCTGACATTAAATGCATGTTGCCTCCTATTGTGAGAAATTAAAGCGTGAAATAGGTTACAGATGGGTAATGGTGTTAGAGGATTTTTACTCTGAACGTTCTTTCCTCAGAGAATACTTTTTTCTAGGAAGGACTGGGCTACTAATATAAACAGAATAGAAAGCAGACTTCAAATTCCTCTGAAACTACAAAAGTCTGGTTTCTGTTTTATGCAAATAAAGACCTCACAAAGAGCTTTCATGTTAGTGCTTAGAGCCTGGGAAATCTACCCCTGCAACATCTCATAGGAAAAGCAGGCCTTTGGCAATTAGCACAGTGACTTCTCATGCGTAATCCTGGACTCTTTGAGTGCCTCTGATCATGGACTTGCTGCTGCAAGGAGCTGCTCTTCCTTTCTAAGCCAGTCCAGGCCTGTGCTGCTGCTGCTATTTTTGTGGGGCAACAGGAGTTGCTACGAGGCTTTGGGCCTCAGGCACTCTCAATTTCCTCTCAGTCTTTCCACACAAGCTCTCTTCTTGGCCCTTCCTTAAAGCAGGGAGAGAGGAGCAAGGTAAGAAACAAAACTACACAACCTGATCTGACAGAACTAGCAGAGTCAGGAGTGATAGTACTCCAAAAACTGGGACGTGTGGTGCTGGAAAAGCACCTTCCTCCCACTAGTTGGAAGTGCCAGAGTAGTGCTGTCTGTTGCTAACACTGCTGTGTTGTCAGAGCCTTCAATGGTGTCCCTGGCCCTGCTTTACAGGGATGATAAGGTACATCTGAAACTCTGCTCTTTGGGGCTTGTCATCTTTCTGTGCTTTTTTTTTTTTGTACTGTGGCAGTGGTTGGAGGCCCTAGATCAGAGTCAGGGCCCACCAAAGAGGCTGTTTCTGCTTTGGGCAATGCTACCTGTTGGTGAGCTTGCAAGCGCAGGGACAGAGTGTATTTGTGTGCAGAGGAGGGCAGCAGTGTACCTCCCCAGGTTTTGCCATAATGAGTGGTGCAGCCATGAGGTGTTTTTTAGTTTTTTTCCCAACTAGTTATAATGCTTTTCCTGCTGTTCAACGACACTCTCTTTCTTCTCAGCCCGATACATCTCTTTGCAGACAAACACAGTACATCTCTTTGCCAGGAAAATATGATGCATCTCTTTGCTGACAAATATGGTGTGGATCTTTATCAGAGACTCCTTAAATGCTTACTAAAATGACCCAGTGTACACACGCAGGTCACCTGAACCAATTACTTTCTCTGCATGCTGATTCATCGGTTGAAGGCTTTTTATGGTGCTTGCCTAGAAACGGGGAGCCGAAGCGTGATAAGCTCGTAAACCCTGCCAGGCTGAAGCTTCAGTACAGGATGTGTTGCTCCTGGGTTTTTTAATGGCATTTGAGTCATTCAGGCTTATTAATATTTGCTTTACATTAATGTTTCTGCCTGGCAGCAATCCAGTTGGCAGATACAGTGGCACATAGGACTAGGTGTGCGTATTATCAGACCTTGGAAAACCTGTGCTAGTTGTCCAGAAATTGCCCTTTGTTTCCTTGAAGCCTCTGTGAGTTTCTAACCAGAACTGGGCCATCATGCTTCTTAGTTCTTGGCTGGTACAAAAGAGGTTGGGTCATGTGTGGTTATTAACCTCCCTCTTCCAGCTATTGTGGGTGGTTTTTTTTTTCCAGTTAGATTATCTGCAATGTACTCTCCTGTTAGCTTTCAGCTAACCAGACCATTGTTGGGTGGAAGAGACACATGTACACACCAAGCCAGCTGAGTGTGGAGGTGTCTTTGGGAGCTGTACCAAAATACCAGCCTGGAAAGCAGCAAAGGACAGAATCTCCCACCTGTAGCTGGGGGTTGTTTTCCACCCTGCCATGCTTGTGGAGAGATCTGCTGTGCCATTAGGCCTTGTGCTTTGGTTTGTGTGAATTTAGACCAAGAGAGGCACGCTGTCCAAGTGACTTAGAGCTTACTCAGTTCCCTGTTTATGTACAAGGCAAAACCATGTCTCATTCTGTCCTACCCTGCCAATGCATTTAGCTCCAAGCTGGGGACCCTGTCACAAGGACAGAGCCTACAAGCCATTAATCTTTACGTCTCTCTGCAGAGATTGTCAGGGAAGGGGTGGATTAGTACAAAAAGTGTAACTAAGGCAATTCAGTTGAACCATTGAATTTGAACTGGACTGAGAAAACCTCTATCATTTGTGCCTACCACTGAAAACTTCTTTTCCCTTGTTTGCCTTCACTGGGGCATGGCTGGATTTGAACCTGTGGTTGAATAGTGAAAATGCTCAGTCGCAAATGTACTACACCAATCCTATATCCTTCCATCCTAAATTGTCCTTTTAAAGCTTTTTGACCCTCTGATCCAATTAGTTTGCCTGAATTAACTGTTAGAAAGGAGTCCCAACAGAATACCCTGACTCCCTTCCCCACGTGCATGACTTAGAGCTGAAGTCTTTAGTGAGCAGGATGCAAATTTTTCTGGCTGTATGTGGCCATGATGCAGCTCCTGTGTCAGGGGTTTGACCATGGAGACTCTGAGGTGAGACTCCCTCTCTCAAACAGTATCTTCCTGGGAGGATGCAGAAGCAGCGTGTTTCACTTCAGGACAGGAAGGAAAACCAGCTCACAGCTTGCTGGGGAAATGTTCACCCTTTCTCTCCCTCGCCTGCGGTGTCGTCAGATTACAGAGCTACCTTAAATAAGCTCTGCCTATGACTCTTATCTTAGCCTTTGCAAACTAGCAGAAAGTTGAAGTGATGACAGCAGATAAGGGTGTTCGCTTTTGAAGCTTATTGGCTGGTTCTCTGGTTTTTTTTTTTTCCCCTGAAAGCCAGTCATTCAGAGGTATAGCTGGCACAGACGGATCATTACATCCCCTGGAGACCATGGAGAGGACAAGAGGGGCTGGGGTCTAGAAGGGGCAGATCTTCTCTCACCAGCTGGCTTAGCTGTGTCACTTGCCTGGGGATGAGACCTGTGGAATATCGTCAGCCATGAGAAATGTGGACTCATGTTTTCTTTGACCTTTCTTCACCTTGAAGGAGAGCAAAACGGATCCTGGTTGTTAACTCTCTACCTCCTCGGCCCTGGGACAGCGAGAAAAGTTCAACGTTGCTTACGGTGGGAGTGAGGGAACTGGGGCTGGTTCCCAGCAGGCTTACACATTAAACCAGCGTATCAAAGGCGAGCCGCAGCCTGACAAGAAATGTAACCTGAGGAGAAAGGACACTAGTGCGTGTGAGCACGCTGAGGGATTCTTACATGACCTGTCACTCCTTCAGTGCTGTCGCCTGAGCAGGTCTTACTGGTTTTTACTGAGGTGGTGGGAGCTGAATGGGGTGTGGGCTCGTTTCTATTCGTCCACAGACATCTCCGCAACCTTCTTTTCTCTTTTTTAATTCCCTCCTGGATATAAACTGGAGAAATAGTGTCGGTCAAGTCTGCTGCCACCTGGGCTCAACCCAGCTGAATCGATTTTGGAGGATACCCTTGCTGCAACCCTCTGGACGTGCTCCTAAGAGGAGAGGAAGCTAAAGCAATTTGCCATCACTGCTGTAGTTTGAGGAAAAACATTGCTTTTGACTTCAGAGAGAGCTACCAGGAGGTTCTGTGTGATGTCCTGATCTCCTCTCGTTTGCCCTGCTGAGCATGGGGTAACGACGTTTGACCATGGTGGTCACCCAGTTACAATTGGAACTGTGCTTCCATGGCAAGAAGCTGAGAGGTTTCACCTGCAAGTTGACCAGGTCAGCCAGTGGATTTCTGCCAGAGACTTCACTATCCATTGCCTCCCAGATTTTTGTGCCGTTCCTTCTGGCTGGCTTGGGCATGGTAGCTGCCGGCCTCTTGATGGATGTTGTTCAAGTAGGTACCTGTGATTAGACAACTTTGTAGAGCGAGGGTGGGCTGATTCACTGACCTTGAGTATTTGTGCAGTTTTGTTTTTAACGTGCGTG